TTTTAAATAGTTGGTCACTTGCGTCCGAAGCACGCATTCCTATAGAGTTGTATAGAAGTACAGAGTATCTCTTGTGTCCACTGAAGTATTAGTGCGCACTGTATCATAGTACGTAGGCTGCGTATTCAACACGTATAAAAATACAAAATATGAAAACCCGACCCGATTTTTTCAGCGCACACAACACAGTTCCAGGGTCATTTGGCGTACCACCTGACGGCACGCCCGTACGCGTACCACAGTTTGAGAACCACTGATCTAGGGGATGGGGGGGGACCCCAGAAATATCTGCTAATGCTCAATGGTGGCAATCTAGTATTATGGGTCTTGTAGATCTCCCATCTGGGTTTTCAGATTTCGAGGATTGTAGTCCTCTCTTGACTCCAACAGGCAGCCCTTTACACTTGCAAGAGTTTAATACACATCTATACACTGTAAGGCCGAGCTGCAGATCGGATCCTGGCCTGAAGTTGATCAGCACAACAATCCTCCATTTTCCCAAACGGCAAACCCCGCGTGCGGTGGCTGGGCCGCTGGGAGGAGGAGGAGGTAGTGCGGTCCAGGGCGCGGCCCGGACACGAGCGCCTCCCAGGCAGGCGGTGGGTTCGAGGTCATCAGCGACGAGAAGGGAATCTGGAAGGCGAGTACGATGAGCAAGATGTTACGAGATACGGGGTGTAACGGGGCCCGCAGTGAGTACAAGAAAAGGCTTTTTTTTCCTGCCTTGTAAATCTGTGTGCAAAGAGTGGACGTTTCCCCAATCGCCAGCACAACGAATCATTCACTTTCTTTAACCTAACAGCATGTCCGTCATTCGCTCATGAATGGAGATCGACCCTCACTATGATGAACACAAAAGGAAAAATTACCTGCTAACAAGGCAACAGCCTTGTCAGGCAAAGGAGTTTACAGAGCCGATCCCTCATTTTTCAAATGCGATTGTCACAACTGACTAATACAGGCCTAATGAGCAATGCTTAAAATAAAGCATTACCCTACACTCTTGCTGTGAGTCGGTGCCAGTTTTGGAATATCCAGACATACATAATTATTTCATTAACCATGCGTCTCCTTAGGCAGGAGACCGCTTAATTGCAAATAAAAACTAGAATGCTTACAAATATTTATTGGCCGTCTGGGCAGAAAAAGCAAACGTGTTCCTCAGCATCAGCCCCCCTACGTTGCTACGTTTATTTTTAGTAAAATTAATAAAATGTAACACCAGACAAATTCATGCTGAGCTTTTGACAAAATACAGGGTAAACTGAACGCAGACTCTTTCCCAGTAGCATGTCAGGTAGATTTTTCGACCCTTGTTCTGCATCTATTTGCAATTGTTTCCATTATCATAGCATGAATGGGCATTACATTACAACAGGTGATTGATTTTTCAGTGAGCCTGTGAGCTTGGGTCTTGACACTGCTAAAGCCAACGTTAAAATGAGATCTGAGATCTGAATTCCACACCCAAGTGGGCCAGGGCTACACAGCAGGCTGTCCTTCCAACGTACTATATAGCAAAGCTTTGCAACAGCCAGATTTCAGTCCTTATTCCTAATTAGCAGGACCAATATGCCGATTAAGGCCCTAGCTGCAGAAAAGCATTGAGAAATCGACTGGATTGCAGCAGTCGGGTGTCGGGGTGCAGTGCAGTAGATGACAGTGGACGTTGCAGAAGCTGTAATACGGCCAGTCTGGCTCTGGGGTGTTGGACAGTGGGAACGGATCCCCACTTGCTCACTTCCTAACACTGTTTGTGCCGAAGAAAACTGGCCTGCCGCACGGGAATATGACCAGCACCTGGAACGACAGAGACGCCACAAGCGAAGAACTGACACGGAGCAAATACAAACAGAGTTTTTTTCCCTTTTAATAAAGGCGAGAAACCACAGTACAAAATAAACATTGTCATTCTCATCTGTACATAGAGGAAAAAAATTAGAAGATTTTTTTTTGAAAAATCCAGTTTATGGAGGCTAGATCTACAGAAAGTCTATTAAACAATTCAAGGCACATTGGTGAAGGGTTTTGGTCTTGAGAGCTATATAGCTATGTACAAAGAGCACTAAATACCTCGCTGATTAAGACCGAAGGGGCCCTCTGGAGTGCAGGGAGCAGGGCACGAGAGATGTATTGCATAGAGCACATTCTACATCCTTACGTCTCCAGTCTGCCCCTTTGCAGCGTGCAGGAATGGAAAAGAGAGGGAGAACACCAATGGCCATCACCAGTGCAGCTGTGAGACTCGAGTGATTAGATGCTTTGATACAGTCCTATGGAATCTGGTGGGCAAAGGCTGCCCAGGGTCCTGAATTGCACCCGATGTTGCTCAGACCTGACTGGACAGTGGGTGTAAAACTACTAATCGGATGATAGCCTTAAAGACACAGGAACACAAACCAGAGGACAGAAACCACACAGAAGTGAAATTAAAACTGAAAGCAGGAAATACTTCTGTTATGCACAGGGCCGTAGGTGTCTGGAACAAGCTGCCCACCCATGATGCTCAAGGTGAAATCCTAGATTTCAAAGGCAAAAACTGGCTGGGCGAGAGAGCCTCAGTTCAATTAGCTACTCCAACCCAAATGAACTAGATGGGCCTGCTCTCGCCTGCACATGGTGTTCTACACTGGTAAGCCGGGGCGAGTCAGACTGCAGCCAGAGAAAGTACTAATCTGCAGTTCATGGGGGGAAAGCAATCTACACACGGGACAGTGTTACACTTTCAGATAGTGCTGGCCATTGGCCAGACCTGCTTAGAGGAAACACATGAAACAAACAGCATTTCAACAGAGCAGGGACATGGATCTGCAGGCTTTGTCAGCTCTCTACCCCGTGTAAATCTGGCAATGTCACATACCCTTTCAACAATACAGTTTCTCACCATGCTGCCCTGGCAAGTCTGTTTCCTAAACTAATAGTAATCCATAACCTATTTTTTTTAAAATATCTCACTGAGCACTCCTATAGAAGGACCCCACAACAGAAGTGGATCTTGCGGATGCACACTGTGATAACAAGATTAAAAGGCGAAGAGCTCAGTGAGAGCAGCACTGCCACATCAGGCTTGGCTCCACCGGGTGCATTAGTCTCTCCTTGGCTCCAGTGTTTCTAAGTTGCAGGAGCAGAAAACTCGCGAGGTGCTTCTGATCCACTCTGTAACGGACTCCGCAGCGCGGTACAAACGCAGACCTCCGGCCTTTTCCGGCTCACAGTCTTACTGTAACAATATCTAACCTGGTTCAGGTTGGGTTTTTCAACTGGCTTGACAAGAGAACAATGCATTCTGTATCAAACGCTCAAGATAAACCAATAGAGTCAGAGAGTATATGAACTTTTCCTGATGACATTTTTATAGTATGAGGTGGCTTTGTACAGGTAAAATACCCTTAGTTTTTTTTTATACAGTTTTTTCTTAGTTGAGTTGTGATCCCACCAAATACTACACTTTAACATTTTTCATTTGCTTTGAAGTAGAGAAATTAAAAACAAATATACAATACAGTAGGTTCATTTATCCACAGGTTAAAATACTGGTCTTTTTTTAATACAATCAATAGCAAATAGGAATGATTTTTTTAAGCATAAGGGAGTGTTGGATTGCAAGCAATGCAATCCCACTTTCTTTTGTTGCTCATCTAAGACTTGTGCTAAGTGCATTACCATTCTGTCAAGCCCTAGGCTAGCGTGTTTGTGGCACCAGCAGCCCACACAGTCACAGGCTTCAAGGCGAAGACCGATTATGCGTCGCCTTCCAAAGCCAACTTGTATAAATCAGTCGAACGCGTTTTCTTCCTCCTTAAGATCAAGGTGGCCCACTGGTCCCACAGTCTGTGAAAAGGGATTGAGGCTTTCAGATCTACATGCTGGGTCTGACCCCTGCCAAGCTGGATCTCAGCCTAATGTATCAGAAATATGGACTGGCCATCATACGCAATCCAGGGTCAATGCATGTAGGCGTGGAAGGCAACTGGCAAAGAGATGGTACAAGTACTGGATGATCCTCAAACCATACTGGAATGAAACACAAAAAGTCTTTGGTCTTCACTTTGACCTCGGTCTGGCCAAAAAGAAATGCCTTTTTATATATAAAAGAAGAATGTCAAAGTTACTTTTAAAATAAAAAGCCTACTATTTTTAAGTACAAGTCTTATGAAGAATTAAATAACCTAGATGTTTCCAAAGCTGGAAAGCTTAATTGTTCACATTTTGGAATGAACAGTGCAAAGTCACAGACCACAGATTGCGGTGCCGCTTTTTCGTTTCTTCCTCTTTTGTTTTTTAGTGGTTAAATTACTACAATAATTAATTTAAAAAAATGAACCACAAAATTCCACAGTGGCTGCAAGTGAATATCAAAAGGTTCTGTCGTCTCCCGGATCCTGCCCCCCCCCCCCTCCTCGTTGTGAAACGCATGTCTCTTTCTTATCCTAGAAAACAAGACTTTTCCACAGGTGGGGGCTCACCGACAGTCTTCAGTAGCACCCGGATTGCATGACAGCTGGTGATTATAAGGCTTGACTGAAACCCAACACTTCAAAAGAACCTTTTGAATGTGGTCCGTGGCTGAAGCAGAGGACTTTGGATATGCTGGACCTGTAGGATCTGGCTACTGCAGTGCCAGGCTTGCAGCAGTACTTAATCCTGCCCAAACATGGGACTCAGGGCTCCCCGGGACAGGGAGACAAGAGTCTGCGGAATTCCCAAAAGTCTGGAATGCTCAAAAAACAGCATTGGTCTCTTCAGAAGAAAAAACAACAATTCTTGACATCGTGGTACAGGCTTGTTGGTGTGTAAAATCCTTTTTAATATATATATATACACATTAATGTTTATTCCACCTCCATGGCTCAAAAAGTTGTGCTTGATCAAACGAATCAGAAAAAGAACACATATATTTGGAAAATGCGTAGGCCACAGAGCCACGTCCTTGGTCTGTACTCTTGGAATGGTTTCTTGGGTGCATTAAGGCAATGCTGTATTTTGCTGTGTGAGGCACAGTTGGTGTGGAGATTGTGAGGCAGGACCCAGAGTACAACCTGTTGGGATGTTGCATAGTACCAGAGCTCAGAGGGGAATGGCTTTCTGCCACACGGAGTTCAAAGGCTGAGGGTCAGTGCTCCCTACAAAGAGTCATCATCATCATCGTCTTCTTCCATGGGGTCATCTGGAGGCCTGTGGGAGGCAGGGAGTGATAGAGAGCCACTGTGAGATTTCAGACAGATAGAGAACCAGGATCTGATGACCTCTTATTATCATGAAATCCCAAAGTGCTTCATCATTGGAATATCCTTATAAGAAAATAGTAATGTCTCCCACACAGGTACAGGTGCTCAGGAGATAATAAGGCTACAATGTTATTAAACTGCACTGTCAAGACACTGCAGCTCTGATAGGAGGGTCACTTTCTGGATTGGATTAGTCTAGATCTTCTTCCTGCTGTTTTCTTCTGTTTTCAGTGGACCAATTAAAACAGAAAATAAAGTAAAATGTTCCAACAGATTTGCCCTGATGCCCTACTGTATGGTACATCACTGCACCTACATCTTAAAACACTTACACATCTGATTTGTTAAAAACTGAAAAAGACCCTCCGGTAGTACACATTCTGGCTTTTGAGTTTGTTGCTGCAGGCAATATTGAAAGGTTTCTCATCTGGCAGAAGGGTCTAACCCAGTGCTATCTAATCCAGGTCATGGAGGGCCGGCGCGTCTGAAAGCGTTCAGTCTTGTCAGTGCTGAATGACCTAAATCGGCTGGTGATTTAAGCAATTTAACACCTTCTCTGTGCTCTGCTGGTTCTGCTGCTTTAGAAAACCTGCAGACACACAGGCCTCCAGGAACAGGGTGGACAGAACTCCCATCCACAGAACACTCAGTGCCAGTGCCAGGTCCTCAGAGAAGAGAAACACCTGATGTTATCAGGCATGAGCACCTTCTCTCTGACACTGCAGTTCCACTGTCATTTTTCTCACTGGGAATACAGGGAAAGTAATTCAGCGGGGCAGTGGAAGACCTGTGAATAAGGGACTAATTGCCTCTTGGGGTGGAACAGTACAGCTGCTCTGACGGTCATGGCCGGACGAGGGGCTGACCTCTTGTCTGTGATGACCAGTGCGGGGTTGACCCCCACCGAGAGCGAGGCCAGAGCAGTGACTGTGTCGTTCTCCTCCGTGTCGTGTTTCTGAGCCTCCAGGAAGGACAGACCCACTGTAGAGGCGAACCGCAGGACGGACTTCCAGTACTGACCTGAGAGAGGGAGAGACAAACACCGGGCTTAGGAACAACGCAGCACGGTACACACACTGGCAGACACGGTCACACACCCACATTTCACATGCACACGCACCCACATGCTCACAGATGCACATAAACATAAGCACACACACGCGCACACATTCTTGTAGACAGACACAGCATGGACTCCAAACGCATGACTGGAGTAGCAGTTTCTGTTCTTTAGAAGATGAGTCAAGACATGAATCAGTCTGTTCCTTTTAAAATGTTCAAAGACTGTAATTATTAAATGTGTTCAGTTGTGTCAGAGACACTGTAGGAATTGTTTCTATTTTTGAAAGCTTCAATATGGAAAACATTCCTTGGTTATGATTCTGTTGAAATATTGAAACTGCGAAGACTCATACAAGAGCATTTCCATACATATAGCAATTTGTTTCTGTGTAAGGCTTTGGCAAGTTTTTCTATTGTAAGCTTGTTTAGACAAAAAAGGCTAAGTGCAGATACCAGTAAAAGAAGGTCTATAAACCAGCAAGCAGTTGATAGAAGTAGCGCTGTAGCCTTAGCGCTCAGCTGGAACAAAACCAGCAGACACAGGAGTCACTCGGGAACAAAGCAGGGAGCCCCTGGTTTACAGCACATACAAGATGAATAAGGAACACTTGTATCCACTTTTGGAACACTGTGCAGGGAACTGCGTGTCCACGTGAGCGAGAGCTCTTGGTGATGCACTGGCGTCCAGTCCAGGGCGTGCTCCAGCTCACCGCGCCCCACTGAGCGCCCCACAAAGTGGTGACTGAAAACAGAAGGATGAGTGCCGGATGACAGAACCAGGGAGGCTCCTCTGTCTTTCCAGCCACCCGTTCAAAGCGACCCCTCCGCTAGCTTAAACCTTGTGAGAGCGGACCACTACATGCCCAAAAGCATAGCCACCTTCTCGCAGACCAGCTACTGTGAGCTGAGCAGGTGAACGTGAGCTAATGTATTTAACTTTAAACAAATTAAAAGAAATGATGGCCTGGTGCCTAGGAAAAGGCAGCCCTTCACCCTGTTAGACAGGGCTGGCAAAGAACCCTCCCGCAGAGGGCACTGGAGCAGACAAGCCTCACAGCCAGCCCTGCCTCTCTCACCCCAGCACAGCCTTCTCAATTCACATCTCCACGTATGTAAGTGTGTGTGTGTGTTCATGACGGATATAAAAGCACACATGCAAGCTCATTTTTCTCCATTAAGGACTGAATACTTGTGGCCGCAGTTTTAATTAAACATTTCAGAAACATTTGAGTGCAATCAGATGGGATCTTCGCCACCGCGCCAGCGTGCCTTTGAAGTTAATTGGAGTCAGGCGAGCTGCTGTAGGCGGAGAGTGTGCGCGCCGGTGTGTGTGTGTGTGTGGGGGGTTGGGGGACGACGACTCACCCTGTACTTGCAGCACTCTCTCCAGCGAGCGCACCCCGTTAACGCTGGGCCTCTTCCGCAGCACCTCCTGGGACAGGGGCTCCCCCTGCGGCACAGAACAGGGCTCAGACCCAGCACTCCTGGACAGCGCTCTCTCCAATGGGTACGAGCACGGCTAACGGTCTAACTGAAGTGGAAACGGCCCTCTCACCTTCATCAAGTTTCAAAAGCTACTATCTCCAGCCTACATCAAGAGCCTTCTCCAACTGCTTTTTACTACAAAGCAAACCCCCCAAAATTCTTGGCTGCTGCTCTGTTCTCATTTTTTATGAATGTAGTAGTGCATCTCTCTAGTGGTTAAACTTTGGAGTCCCACCCAAAGGGCTGTGGGTTCAAGGCCTGGGTGGGATGTGGCTGATATACCCTGAAGCAAGGTACGCAACTCAAACTGCTCCAGTAATCGTCCTGCTGAAAAGGTGGGCTGTCATTGCAAAGGAGAATTCGTTCTCATTTATCTAACTTTGAATAAAAGACTTATTTACCCTAACCCTAACCCACAAGGGGTGCAACGGAGAATTGAACAAACACAATTCCTCTCCCTCTGGAAGGGAGTCGTGCAATGCACACGGATGTCTGGAGGCAACTTGCAAACTCCATACAGACAGACAGAATTAAACCCATGACTCCTTGCAGTAGCAGTAATATTATTTAATGAAATTTTTATTACTGTACAGTTTTTATCATATTTAAAGTTCTGTGTTAGTGCTCTGTGTTGGACAACCAGGGAATTAACTTGAATCTGGGTGTACTGTTAGGAAGTCACATACTGGAGCACATTTGGGATCTTTAATAGAACAGCCAGTCGGACTGCACTACAAAGACATTCCAGTGGTACAAAGTGAGAACTTCAACTACTAAAAAACCTACCGAGATACTTAATAAATGATTTTGAATGTGGCTGCTGTGTAAATAGATGTGGAGAATGATGTTTTGTTTTTCAAACAGTGTTAGATTTCAAGCTGGCAGCCTGGGAGTGATTTTTAAATTTAAAGAAAAAAAGAAAAACAATCCGGAGTACCACTCACGCCAACTACAGAAAGAGGCACTTCAGATGGAGTCAGATTAAAATAAGCACCTCCAAACACAGTGAGCGCTCACAGCAGTTTTCACTGTGCCTGCATCAGGGCCTGCCTGGTGTACAAGACCACATCTTCGAATGTTCCTGTGGTTTGGTCCTCTCTATATGGTGCAGCAACGCTGTGTGGAAGATGGTCTGCTTTAAAGCAAAGGGGGCCCCATCTCATGGACACCCTGAGACAACCACCCTTCCTCCCACCGCGCTCCCCCACTCACCTCATTGCCCAGCAACGCGTTGACGCAGGCCTCCGAGGCGTCGCAGATGGCCGTCAGGTCGTGGCCCCCCTCCAGCGCGAGCACCAGCCTCCCCCC